CACACACACTTTTCAGCTGGCCAAGAAACTGGGGGACAAAGTTATTTCTGTCAGGTATCGTGAAGATATATTTCCTTCATGGTAATTAGGGTAAAGTTAGGGTAATTAGACAACAGTAGTAGAATAACAGTGGTTTGTTCTGGAGATTTATTTTCCTTCAGCTTAGTCCCTTATTTATCAGGGGTCACCACAGCGGAATGAACCACCAACTATTCCAGCTGCAACCCATTACTGGGAAACACCTATACACACACCATACACACACACCACGGCAAGTGTAGTTGATCAGTTCCCCTATAGCGCATGTGTTTGGACTGTGGGGGAAACCGGAGCACCCGGAGGAAACCCACACCAACACGGGGAGAACATGCAAACTCCACACAGAAACACACACTGACCCAGCCGGGACTCAAACTAGAGACCTTACCGTGATGCCACAATTTGACACCACTGAATCACCCTATAGACAATTAAAAATATAAATTCTTAAGGGAGCTAACAATATTGACCTTAAAACATATCCATTTAGTATTATAGTATATACTGTGAAAATGTTCCACTTGAGAAATAATTGAAAAAAAATCACAGCAGGGCTAATAACCTTGCCTTCAACTGTATTATTATAGGTTTCTATAACATGTGACAGGTATGCATTTGTCAGACTGTTATTCAAGAGACTAATGCATGTTATCAGTTCATGAATACCTCAAGAATCAAACTCGAGACTTTAGCATTGCTAGAAACAACCTTTAGTGTTTGACCTACAGCCTCTCTCTCTCTCTCTCTCTCTCTCTCTCTCTCTCCCTCTCTCTCTCTCTCCCTCTCTCCTCTCTCTAGCAGCAGATTATCTGTAATCTGGATTGAGTAATCAGATTACAGCAATCAAGTACTTGTAATTAGACTAAAGTACTTTTTAAAACACTCGTAATCAGACTACAGTTACTCTTTGATGGATTACATGATTACATTTAGCTACACAATGGCAGGAGGCTGCTCACAATTCATTGACTCTGCTTGGTTTTTTTTTACATTCATTCATTTTCTTGTTGGCTTAGTCCCTTTATTAATCTGAGGTAGCCACAGAGGAATGAACCGCCAACTTAACCAGCACATGCTTTACGCAGTGGATGCCCTCCCAGCTGCAACCGATCACTGGGAAACACCCACACACTTTCATTCATATACATAAACTACGGACAATTTTAGCTTACCCAGTTCACCTGTACTGCATGTGTTTAGACTGTGGGGGAAACCGGAGGAAACCCACACGATCACAGGGAGAACATGCAAACTCCACACAGAAACACCAACTGACCCAGCCGAGACTCAAACCAGAGACCTTCTTGCTGTGAGGCCACAGCACTACCTACTGCGCCACCGCGCCACCTCTTTACATGTATTATTTTCATAATTAACCAGCTGCTTGTGTGCATTCATGATTCTTCACACTTTTACAGTCATCTGCATTTCTAGAGATTTATAGGTGAAACATTTGACGTCGCAGTGATATTTATGTGAATTTGATGTTTTTCAATATTAGGTTTTGTAATGTTGCTGCTTTCTAAATGCATTTAATGTCCGGTAAATGTTTGTGGTTTAGTGTTGTTGAGGTATATTAGTGTTATATAGTATATTATGAAGTATTATCTGTCCATCATGTCCTCTTGATGATGATTAACAATGTAGATATTTATTATTTCTCTCTGTCTAAATAGTACAAGATAATCCTGCTTCAGTATATGAGGCATCAAATAAGGATTAGCGCAAATGTAATCTAAATGTAATCCAAATTTAGTCAGATTACTTCACTATAAATGTGTAATCTGGGAGATTATATTAGTGATTACATCTTTTACCATGTAACCAAATAAGGCTCAGTGCAAAAGTAATCTAAATGTAACCCGAAAGTAGATTACTAGACTATTATTGTGTAATCTGAGAGATTATATTATGGAGTACATTTTTTCCCTTCTAATCAAATAAGGGTTAACACAAAAGTAATCCAAATGTAACCCAAAAGTAGTCAGATTACAATACCATGAATGTGTAATCTGAGAGATTACATAACTACACTTTTTACCATGTAACTAAATAAGGCGTAACACAAAAGTAATCCGATAGTAGTCAGATTACTTTAAATGTGTAATCTGAGAGATTATAGTACTGATTACATTTTTGCCATGTAATTAAATAAAGAGTAGAAAAAACGTAATCTAAATGTATACCGAAAGTAGTCAGATTACTTTACCATTACAGTGTACTCTGAGAGATTATATTAATGATTAAACTTTTTTTTAATCACGTAATCAAATATTGGTCAACACAAAAGTAATCTAAATGTAATCCAAAAGTAGATTACTTGACCATTAATGTTTACTCTGAGAGATTATATTATGGAGTACAATTTTTTCCAGTGTAATCAAATAAGGGTTAACATAAAACAAATCTAAATATAACCCGAAAGTAGTCAGATTACAATACCATGAATGTGTAATCTGAGATCACATAACTACACTTTTTACCATGTAATTAAATAAGGTGTAGCACAGAAGTAATCTAAATGTAATCCAGAAGGAGTCAGATTACTTTACCATTACAGTGTAATCTGAGAAATTATATTAATGATTACACTTTTTTTAACCATGTAATCAAATATTGGTCAACACAAAAGTAATCTTAATGTAATCCAAAAGTAGTCAGATTACTTTAGATTAGATTTTTAGATTAGATTCAACTTTATTGTGATTACACACGTACAAGAACAATGCAATGTGTAATCTGAGAGATTACATTACTGATTCCACATTTTAGCATGTAATTTATTATCTTTAACTGAACTGATTCTCCTGTTCTCACACTGTTCTCTATCTGATTACTGATTCTCGGCATGTTTTGCTCAGGGAGGCGGACGCTCTGGTGGCCATGCTGCGCTTCCAGGAGTTCGAGCGCTGCACGGTGGACACTGAAGGTGCGATGGGTCTCGCCGCCATCCTGGCTGGACAACTGCCAGAGCTCAAGGGCAAAAGGTGCTCAAAACTCTTTATTAACATCTCAAAGGTCACTCAAACACGCTCTCTGATAAGCCAATTAACCCAGGAGTTCATCAGCAGTAAACACACTGCAGTAAACACCGCACTCCTCACTGAAAAGACTAACTCACTGGTGGAAAGACTACTGAAAACCATACTCTAGTAAACGAGACATTATTGCCAGTATAGTAAATGTGTCATCACCGGCTAAAAAATAAAATAGTGGCAGTAAAAGTCACTGAAAAAAATATTCATTGTATTTACTGTATTTTTAAGGTGTGTGTTTGCAAACAGTTTATATGGGCTGAACTTAAACAAACTAATTAAATTTAGAAGCATTCAGGCTAATTTATTCATTTAAATTCAGCTTACCACTTACATTTACCACTTACCTTAAAAAATATAGTAAATACAATGAGTGTTTTTTCCAGTGTATTTTAAACAGTACTCAAAATGTGTGTGAAAGAAGCCCTCTTCAAGGTGTTCAAGAGTAGTGAGCACTGTAAATTACTCCACGCTACACCCTGCTGATTAAACATGTAGCTTATGCTTGATGCATTTATCTACAGAGTGATGTAATCTTACACACAAAATATAGCTGTGCTGATATGCTCACCCTCAGGTTATGACCTTTGACCCCTGGCTAAACAGCTCCGAGTGTCCAGCAGGTGGCGCCATAAACTCCTGCAGCACTGAGAGAATACCTGCAGTCTGTGTGGAAGAGGAAACATTCTGTAGTGCGTTCAGTGATTGTTGATGGACGTAGACATTTCAGCTGGATGTTTACCCAAAAATATGCTTATTTTTTATATCATATCTTTTAAATATTTCTATTTTTTAAATACTATAAGTCAGTTCAGACCAATCAGAACCTAAAAATGGTGCAACTTTGTTGACTTCTGGAGGCCTGTGGTGTGTGATTGACACAGTGAGCATGTTATATAAGGTCAGACGTTTAGATGTGTGTGATTAATCGCCATTGTGTCGGATTTGTTAAGTTTTTGGGGGGTAAATAAAAAAAAATGCTTTCATTTCAGTAATTTCCGTTCATTTGCTAGTGGTGTCCATTCTTGGGCAAAGAGAGAGTTTTTTGTGTGTTCACATGACATGGTGTTCCTTCAGCTTAGTCCCTTATTTATCAGGGGTCGCCACCAACCACCAACTATTCCAGCTTATGTTTTACACAGCGGATGCCAGCTGCAACCCAATAATGGGAAACACCCATACACAACTGATTTACACACACACACACTCATACACTACGGCTAGTGTAGTTGATCAGTTCCCCTATAGCTTATGTGTTTGGACTGTGGGGGAAACCGGAGCACCCGGAGGAAACCCACACCAACACGGGGAGAACATGCAAACTCCACACAGAAACACGCACTGACCCAGCCGAGACTCAAACCAGCGACCAGTGGCAGTTCTAGTTTAAATGGCACCCTGGGTGAACCACCCCATACACCACCTTAATAAAATAAAAAATAAATAAAGTTGTTATTAATATTATTATTCAATTATATTGATTCTAAATGAATTACTGAAACAATGCTGAATGTAACTGGAAAACAACGTAAAGACACAACTATGCTAAGATCACTTAAGAAATCTCTTGCATGAATATTAATTTAGATAATTCTTCAGAATGCAGATAAACATGTTTTATAGACCCGACTCACGGATGAGAATTAATGTTATGAAGTCTTGATTATCTCCCTGACTCATTATCCTTTACTGCTTCATAGCCGTTATTATAGTCACCATAACATCATCATCATCATGTTATCATTAGTTCTGTCGACTTGCAAAGCTCGCTTTGTGCCAACACCTCTGCGTAAAAGGCTGTTACTCTGGTTTCACAGTGCACGAGCATCGTGTATTTAATCGGTGTGCATGTAAACAACCGTGATCCACATGGGGAGTGTGTGTGAGGTGCGCGGGAATGTTTTGTTTTTGCGCATGCGTTAGTTTGCTTTCAGCAGTGTTGTTTCGGTTGCACATAGAGAATAACAAATGTGCACATGCAAAAGAAGCCAAATGTGAACGGCCCCTAACATCTCAATTCTGGCTTAACTACTCTAAATTACACTTGCATAAAATAAATCGCATCTCAAAGCTTTTACTGGCCACTTTTTTTTGCACTGTCGCCCCATGCCGCCCCCAGCAAGATGCCGCCCTGGGCGATCGCCCATATTGCCCATGCCTAACTCCGCCACTGCCAGCAACCTTCTTGCTGTGAGGCCACAGTGTGACACCACTGAGACACCGTGCTTAGGGAATCTGTAAAAGAGCTTCTTTAATTCATACACTGATTAATGATTAAAACTATTATATTTATATCTATATAGACATTTTACTCTACATGCAACACATTTTCACCCAGTGATGGTACTTTCACTAGAGTATGATTCACACTGAAAGCACAGATCACAGCAGCTCGGCACATCTCTGTGATGCTAATGAAGCACTTGACTAGAATACATGAATTACTATTAATAAATTAAGCAGTGACATGCACAATACGCTCTCATTCGCTCACATAATTGAATGCATTCATTAAAATGCAATGAGCAGCTAAATATAGGCGTTTTACAGCACTTCATGATGTTAATGTCAATTGCTTAATGCACTTTGACTTCAGTGTGTGACCTTATAGTGATAAATGATGAGACAGTAATAGCACATTTATTAGTTTGTTTTAACTAGTGAAGTTTACTCATTTGAACTAATTACACATTCTCATTTTCACTTCATCTGGATTAATTATTAGTGCATTCACCAACCAAAAGTGCATTAATGCATTAACAGTGAGCAATACATTTTCTACAGCACTTGTTTTTTATTTGCTTGTGTTACTTCATAGTGCATTAAATAATATTAAATTATATAATAATAATCGTCTCAGTAATTACTGAATAAGATATTATTACTTATTATTGCTGCTTTGGAGTTATAATTGTTGTGAAAAGCAATTACAAATAAACTTGAATATTTTATAAGTCTATTATAGAGTATATAGTGATTAATGACTTAATATTGTCTGAGATTATTTAATAGTTGATATTAAATAATATCTTTAATCATATTACTGGTTATTGTCATTATATCACAGCAGTGCAGTGTGTGTTTAGCTATGGTGGCTTTAATTTCATTTAAACTCCAGTGCTGCTGAATGCTTGATTCTGATTGGCTGATGAGCATTCTTATGAGTGGTGTTGTTTTCAGATAAATGCAAAGCTAAAGTAGTTCCGGCAGGTTTTGAAATCGACTCATATCATTCAGTGTAGTGATATGGAGCTGAAATGCGCTCTAAACCTGCCGGAACTACTTTAGCTGTGCCTTTATCTTGCGATTACCAAACACCTGAGAGTGACCATCAGCCAATCAGAATCCAGCATTCAGCAGAGACATAGTATAAAATAAATGACAGCAACTAGAGCTGTAACACGCTACATATTACTACTTACTGCTGTGATTTAACAGCAATAAACAGCTGAATAATCCCCATTGGATGATTATTTCACTTGTTTTAAAGCAAAACTCTGAACACAAGACTATGTTTTTGCTTGTCTGGATAGAAAATGCTTGTTGATTTAAGAACTTTAAGATATTTGGACTGGAAACAAGACAAGAATTCTGAGTAAGACAGCATGTGTGGTAGTGAAGGTGTTTATGAGTGTGTGTGCGAGCAACATGAACAACTAAAGCTATGCTAAACACAAACACTGCCACCTCACACTAAAAACAATAGTGTGATTAATACAGAAATCATATTCCACAATAATAGCAACAAAAACATTACTTACAGACAATCTATATACACAATTCAATGGGAAGGTCAAATACATTCAAAAGTGCAAAAGTTTGCCTGCCTGGGG